AATATTTTTTAATGGCTGCTACACATTCAAATATGAAAGTTAGGTAGTTCTAAAACAAAAAGTTCATTTCTTACTTTGGGCCGCCCACAGTTCACAATCAAATCAGACCTTAAGTTTGTATAACATAATATTACTTTAATGTTGTATAAACCACTAAGAAAATTCTTTTACTACATTTAACATATAATACAACAGCTTAGTCTTCAAGAGCTCATGCTCTACCTATCCTTATGCTTCTTAATTTGGGGACGTAGAAAGAGCACATACTAAAAATGTCTGCTTCTCTTCGTCTCACGTACATCTCATATACAAAACAATTTACCAGAAGAAGAGGGAAGGATTAATACCCAACAAACAAAGATTACAAATAAAGTTTAATTAAGAAATAAATTTGTAAACTAAGCTCAAAAAAATAATACAGTAAGTAACAAAGTCTAAATGGTTGCATACCCTTTTCATAACTGCTTCTTGCAATTAACTCCACAACTTCTAGCAATGGCTAAAACATTGAAGATCTAACTAAAAATAAGGTAATAGAGAAGGAGGAGGTACCACAATTATTGTTGCCTTGTTATTAATCCACTATATCCAGTTAGATACAAAAAGATATCGTGAACAATAGAAATAGAGAAAATGATAAACCAGTGAAGAAAATCTAGTAGAAAATACACCTACCTGATCGGTAGTAACAATAGCATAATTCTCATTGGAGTTGACAGGAATTCATTGGAAACGAAAATTGATTGTCCTTTAAGCTTCAATCTTCATAGAAAATTATAATGAGCCCTATCAATGACTAAGTTTGTTTTAAACTGAAATGAACTAAGAGATGCACAATAAACACTAAGAAAGAAGGATTACCTTGCATAAACATAAGTGAAAGTTTCACATTCTTCTGAGTTCCTCAGCCAACATCAGTCGATGTAATATCACATTTAAGATAGACGTCCCCATCTAGTCTACAAACGTCGATCAACCAAATCAATCAAAAAAATAAGAAGAGTGCATGAATCCATTAATTACCCCTCAAAATCAACTAATGTACAATTAAATAAGCCTGAAGAAGGATGCACTATAAGCAGGGGTCTATGTTCATGAAAGAGGGTTTCACACTATTTGATTTGTTTCTCAACTAAAGGTGCATGTCAAATTAAATAGTCAATAGTGCCTCAAACATTATATCTTAACCATTTTTGAATTCTTCTTTAACATAATTTCTTCTGTATAAGTTATAGCTGAACCAAGTCATATTTGAAAGATTACCAATTCACAAATCTGAATCATTTTATCAAATTCAGCCCATCTCACAACTGATAAAAAAAATTAGCACAGTCGATCAATCAGTAGTACACAAAAGAAATAAAAAAAGTAGTACCCAAAAGAAATAACAAATAACTCATTACTATCATGTAGATCTATTCAAATCAATGGCCTTTTCTTCTGAACCCTAATTTTAAACCAAGGAAATAGAAATGATTTGAGGAACATAATAAAATAATGTGTGAAATAATCAGCTTTAACTTGTAGAGCATTTGTCAAAAGATAAAAGAAGTGTTCAATTAAGTTGGGGATATTATGAAGCACCGAAAATAATTATGTCGCGAAGAAGAGACCACCCATGAAGAAGGTTAAGGAACTCATTAGTGTCATCTCTGCTGTAAATTCTTTTTCCTTCTTCCAAAGACTCTGACACTGTTAACAGCCACGACATATGCATATTCCATCGTTTTTGTTGGAAACAAAACTGGTTTCCCTGTTACACTCCCTCGCTAGAAACCTCCAACATGTTTGTTAACCTTTTCCTCCTCTTATGTGAAATACACCCAAAAAATTTTCAATCAACCAGTAAAACAATAGATATTTATAGGTATAATTAGAGAATGAGAAATTTACCGATTTAAACTAAGCAACAACTTCAAAATTCCAACTTGAATCTGGGTAAGTCAAAGAGAGCTAAGAAAGAGAACTACAGAAGGACATAAATAGAGTAAGAAAAATTTTATTCTGTAAGAGGGAAAAATTTTAATATGGTTGAGGCCCAACCAACAATAGTTGTGTGAGGCTCCATTTAATTTTTGACACTTGAATTTGTGGGCCCATTTTAACACCACACACTCTCTCGCCTTATTTTTTTCCAAATTCCCCGCTTTTCCCTCCAAAATATTTTAGCTCCTTGTTCAATATTCCTCTCTTTTTCATAGTTATTTTTTTAATTCTTTGTGCTCTTTATTAATTAGTAACTTGATTAGCTCTTTCTTTCCCATTAATCATTTCTGTCCCTCAACTAAATCAATTTACTAAATTGCCACCTCTCAACCAATTCAACTAAAATATAATTATTCCTCGTAGCCTTAGAAAAAACAATCTTTTAAATTTTTATTTTACATCTCAAAAAATTGAATCAAATTCCTAGGATACCTTTAAAAGATAATTTTGAATGAGGAATTCACACACACTTTATATTTGTATTAAGAAGTATTCACTGAATATAGAAAATCGAACTAGATAAAAATTTAGTCAAATTGATTATTTCTTTTACTTCAATTTATTTTCTTTTAATTTTTAAAAAATTGACATAATCAGTTTTGATTTCAAAGTAAAATAATCGAAAAATCACCAAACTGATTATAAAATATCTCCCTCTTTATATATATATATATAGTGTGTATGTTGTGTAAGATTAAAGTTTTACTCTTTTTATTTGTAATCTAGTTACCTTTTTATAAATTTAATTCTATTTTTTCACTTTCTAGTTTGATTTGTAATTTTATTATGATGATTTTAAAATTTGATTTTATGTTCAAAATCACTTGTTTTTAGTCCTTTAATTATTCATTATTAGTTAATTCAACTGTCATCAATCAGAACTAAATATTTTTTAAAAAATTATACCGAAAAAAGTTTACCAATGAGTAAGTGAGAGCATACCTATAAGTATTCTAAAATCACTCGTTCTTCAATTTTTTTTAGAAATATTGTACTTGGTGTTGCACTTATTATTGAAATTTAAGTTAAAAGTCAAAAAAAAAAATCAACGAAAAAAATATATAAATCAAGAAAAGAAGACTATAATTATAATGGAGTTTAATTTTTTGATCATATTAACAATCACGGGAAAAAAAGGCTAAAACTTGAATTGATATTAATTTACATATTTCTATTTGACTTTAGGAAAATAAAAATTTAAGACTATTAAAAAAAAAAAAAAGGTAAAATACTTATTATGAGGAAAAGGGAGGAATTTGAAAAAATGAAGGTGAGAGAGTGTGTGGTGTTAAAATGAGGCCCACAAATCCAACTATCAAAAATTGAATGGAGCCACACACAACTACTGTTATTTTGCCAAGTGGATTTTGGGTCCCACTTATAGAAAATGTGCTAAAAGCTCCATTTCTTTCTCTTTCTCCTGTTCCGTATCTTCTTCTTCTCCTTTTTTTTTCTTTCCGTTTCTTCATAAAATTTTATTATTTTTCTTATTAAATATATTTATTCATCAAACTTCGAAACTTGATTGCTTTGCTCGTGATTTAGTTTGGATCATTTTTTATCAAACGAAAAATAATTTAATTAATTTAATTTTTCAAAAGTTAAAATCAAGTCAAATTAATTAAGTCGATTTTTCATCACTTTAATTTGTTTTAATTTTTCTTGCTATTTGGTTTTTGTGGACTTCTCAAAAATATACAATAAAATAAAATTTTGGTAAGGTATATATAGGATCCTTCCAAAAAAAATATGATAAATTATTTCCAACGATTTTACTATTTTCTTACAAAAATTAAAGATTTAACGACGATATATTAGGATGTCTTGTTAATATTTGATTTAAATAAAAATAATAGATTAAATCACGAGTTATTTTGAACATGAAAAAGCACTCTCGGCATTATCAAAATAAAAATATAAATTAAACTATAAAGTAAATGCAAAGAATTTGATTATTATAAAGAGAAACACGTGAATACTAACAAAGAGAACCCAAAAAATATTTCTAATAATTTTTTTAATTTTAAAGAAGGATATATATATATATATATATACAAAATCATTACGGACCATTTATTAATAAAATAATAGGATGAAAAAATTTATCCTAAAAAATCAATGTCTGATCATTTATAAACGAACATAAAAATTAATTTATTATTCTAAAATTTAAACACAAAATTTTATGATTTTTTATTTTTAATTTCACTATCTTCAATATCTTTAATCTTATTGAAAAACTTTTTTTCTCATCACATTCACTTTAAGTTTTCCTTAAATATATGATATAAAGATAAAATAACAAAACATTGTGGCCAAATCTTTAAAAAACGTAGAGACTACAAAGGAGGAAAAAAGAATTGTAGAAGAGAAAGTTTAAAATGAATGAGAAAAGTAAGAAGATGAAAGAAAATGAAATGGGTAAAGTATGGGTCCCATATTGTACATTTGGCAGTCTAAGAAATTCTCATACAACTGACAAAAGGTGAGTCTCTCACAAAATAAAAATTTTCAACCGAGTAATATTGTATGCCCATCTGATCACGGTACACGTGTTTCATAGAGAAAGAAAGGAGAACACGTGTTTATCAACACACTGTACATGTCTTTCTAATGTAGAGGGGCAAGTACCAATTTACCCCTAAATCAATTCACAAATTTTAGACCAACTTTAAGTACAATTTAAATTACTTTGCGTACAAACACATATTGCAGTGTTCGTCCTCCCAACTGTCCCTAATTAATATGGGTAATAATATATTTATTATTTCACTATACACTATAAATACCTAACCATATGCAAGTCCTAGATATCTCATAAAGCTTAATTGTGTAGAGCAAGAAAAACCATTTAGAGAGAGAGAAAAACAATGGTTGTTTCTCCCAACTACTCTAGTCATTTCCTCTTCCACACTAGTTATTCTAAACTCAAAGTACCACATACAATGTATTCATCATATATCCCTTTATTGAAGAGAGAAAAAAATGTGAGTAAATTAAAAATAAGTGGAGAAATGGTTGATTCTTCAATCACTACTACTACTACTAAACGTCCATTGGTAAATTATCACTCAACTATTTGGGGAGACTTTTTCCTCTCCTACACTCCTCAACTCACGGTATTTATTTTATTTACACAATCATTATTACTTAGGCATGCTTTATACATTTTTATTTTTCCATCCGGTAAAAAACCTAGCTCACCTCCCTCGCCTCTCTTTCATCCTGCTCGTCACTCTCTCATGTATCTGGTATCCCAGATATATGGATAAATTAAATAGGCAACAAATAGTTTTCCTAATCCCCCTGATTAAATTTATATAATAGAACTTTGAAGTATATATTATATATAATCTATGCGAGATTTTAAGATTTTAAGTTGGAGATTCTTTTTTGAATATTTGATGATCCTGAAGTGAAATATACAGGTGGTCAAATAATAACGTGCACTTAACATTTGGTGCAGGAAATTAGTAGCCATGAAAAACATGAGCATGAAGAGTTGAAAGAAAAAGTAAGGCAAATGTTAGTTGAAACACCTGATAATAGTACACAAAAACTTGTCTTGATTGATACAATCCAACGATTGGGAGTGGAATATCATTTTAAAAAAGATATTGAAACATCCATTCAGAACATTTTTGAAGAGTCCCAACAAAATGAAAATGATGACGATCTATACGTTGTTGCTCTTCGATTTCGACTGGTGAGACAACGAGGGCATTACATGTCTTCTGGTAACTTTATTTCTTCTCTTCTATCCTATATAAGATTAGTGCACCTTATATTCCAACATTGTGTGGTTCTTTAATCAACAAGATTAATTTCTTTGATATCAGATGTGTTCAAAAAATTCATCAATCATGACGGAAAATTCAAGGAAACTATTACTAAAGATGTTCAAGGATTATTAAGCTTATACGAAGCAGCACATCTAAGAGTACTCGGGGAAGAAATTATTGAAGAAGCTCTAACTTTTACCGTCACTCATCTGGAATCCATGGGCCCTAAATTGGGCAACTCAGTCAAGGCACAAGTTAGTGAAGCCTTAAACCAGCCCATTCATACAAATCTACCAAGGTTGTTAGCAAGGAAACACATATGTATGTTTGAGAACATTGAATCGCGTAACGATTTGCTTTTGAAATTTGCGAAATTGGATTTTAACATTTTGCAAAAGTTGTACCAAAGAGAGCTTAGCGAACTTACAAGGTATATATACTCTTACCCTATTCATAATGACATATATATAGAGAGAGAGAATGTTCGTATTTAACTAATATATACTCGATCGATATCTTGTACTATATATAGATGGTGGAATGATATGGAGGTTGCAAATAAAATTTCATATGGAAGAGACAGATTGGTGGAGTGTTACTTTGCGGCAGTGGGAGTGCATTTTGAGCCTCAACAGAGTCGCACAAGAATAATAATAGGAAAAATAATCTCCATCATCAACATTATTGATGATACTTTCGATGCATATGCAACCTTTGACGAACTTGTGCTTTTCACAAGTGCGATAGAGAGGTAAAGTACAAACTTATTCAAAGAATTAATGTTACATTTTATATATGTGGCAGGATTGGACCCCCTATGAGAATCAAACTCCTTATTTTTCATGCAGATACGACGACATTACTGTCATGGAATCAGTGCCACCTAATTTGAGACCTGTTTATCGAGTCTTGATAGAGTTTCTTAATGAAATCGAACAAGAGTTGAAAAAAGAAGGTAAAGCAGACCGGGTCTACTATGTAAAAGTTGAGGTAATTAATTAAGCTTGCTTGATTAATTAATAATTAAAAGTAAGAAAACAAAAAGTATGTAGGTGAGGAAAAATAATAATTTTAGTGTTGTCATTATCTAATTTTACTTTTTCTATTATTTATTTCTTTTTAGATGAAAAAATGGATAAGAGCCTATTTTAAGGAAGCACAATGGTTGAATGCTAGCTATTTTCCAAAAAGTGACGAGTACATGGAAAACGCAATTGTAAGCGTTGCAATGAATTTTATTGCAACAATTTCTTTGGTATTTTTGGAGGAATTTATTATAACCAAAGAAACTTTGGAATGGGTGATAAGTGATCCTTTGATTCTTCAAGCTTCATCCGTATTAAGTCGATTAAAGGACGATATTATTGGACATCAGGTAATTAAACACATTTAATAGTATATTGTTAACGATTGTATTTTATATAGGGTAGTTTTTAAACATGTAGATTATTTTAATAATTTCAAATCTATTTGATGCAGTTCGAACAAGAAAGAGAACATATACCATCATTCTTTGAATGCTATATGAAAGAATATGGAGTTTCAAAACAAGAAGCATATGTTGAGGCGCAGAAGAAAATGAACAATGCATGGAAAGACATAAACATGGAATTACTCTGTCTTTCTCAAGTACCAATGTTTGTCCTCGAACAAGCTATAAGTGCTACACGCTTGACACTTGCTTTCGAAGAGAATGATTTTATAGATACTGAAGCTAGATTTAAAGACAAAGTCATCTCGTTGCTTGTTGATCCTATCAAAATATGAAGAAAAAAAATGGGCTGCAAATTATTCCAAATAATAATGTTTGAGGATTAATTATCATCTTTATCATGCAATGAGAGTTGGTATTATTATTTTATATATTTATAATAATGTTTTGCGTAGTATTTTGTAGAATTAGAAAAAAGGTAACAACATCAATTTTTACAAGATTAAAAAAAAGAAAAAAAAATACAATTAAAGATTCCGGCCTCCCAAAAAGGTATAATATGATTGAGAATTTAAACATGTAAATCATAATTTAAAAAAATAAAAATTTAATAATTTTTTTATAATAGATATTTAAAATAGTATCTCTCTATAAAATAATTTTAATATTAGAAGTACATTAATAGTTGTCTTTTTTTGTAATTTGACTCTTAAAAGTACTTTTTAAAAAAGATTAGTCAAACATAATTTGCTTATGAAAAGCACTTTCAAATGAATTAGCCAAACACGAATTGTTTTTTTTTAAAGCATTTTTCTAAAAAGTTATTTTAAAAAAGTGTTTCCAAAAATAAGTTGTTTTTAGCAACAATGCCAAACAGACTCTAAATTTCGAATTCATTTCTAACCTATTTAAGAAATAATTCATTTATTAACTTGGCCCATTTAAATCAATTCAAATCCAGTTCTCATTTATCACCCACAATGAAACATCTCATTAACTGACATTCAATTGATATATAGGTACATAATATTTTATTCAAGCAATTAATAGGTATATTATATTTTGTTGAAGCAATTAATAGGTACACAATTTTTAATTTAAGTGGGTACATAATATTTTATTCAGCAATAAGCTATAAGTACACTTGTTTGCAAATTCTACACACAACACTTCAAGTAGATAATAATATTCTGTCAGTTTTAATTTATTTATCTTATTGTTTTAGTCCATTTTAAAAAAAGATTTATTTTTTTAGGACTCTTTAATTCTAATTTTCACATAACATATAATATGTTTATCACCACAAGATTGAATTACATTTTGGTACAATACTCTTACGTATCTTTAGTTTCAGACAACAAAATTCAAAAATCTTCTTTATTAACTGAGACTCCTTGAGTAAATGTTAAATAAAATGAGATAATCAAATTAAAATGAATAGAGTATTAATAATCAAAAACATATGTAGGATTGTATTAGCTACTACTAAATAAAGAAATCTTTAATAAGAGGATCTTATAGTTCAATTTATTGACTACCTGAATAAAAATTAAGTAGGTGAGGATTAATGTGATTACTCCTATTGTAATAAAAATTATGATTCAATTTCAAATAAGTTAAAGTTGATTATATCAAAAACTACTTTTTTTATTAGTTAAGATACTATTTTTATTTTCCTTTAGAGCTTATAGGTCTGAATATTGTTCTCTTGAGTAATCAATCTTAGTTGTATTTTGAAGGAAAGGTTCGATCCCTTTCGTGTAATTTACTATAAAAAATATATTTTAAAATAAAACAATTTTAGAGAAAACATCTTTTAAAATAAGCTGATTTTAGAAATTTAAATAGATCAATAATAATAGTAAATCCGACCTAGTAGTATAGTAGCAACAACAACAACCATCGAACAGTAGCCATCTAGTAATAGTATAATAGTAGGGAAAATTACAAGAATATACTATTTAAGACTTTAGTTAACAACATATACATATACTCTTTTTATTTACAAAACTAAGTTTTTAATTACAAACATAACAAAATATTTAATTTTTTATTTGTTAAAAATATAAGTATTTGGTATCCGTATCTATTACCTTTTTTAGGGGAGGTTATGTGCTAATTTATTGGGATTGATAATTATTGTTTACTTTTTTATATTGATTTTCTCTCTCTAATTTTTTTATTCAATCAAATCATATTATTAATGGAAGCCTTCTCTCACATTTTTACCATTATTTTCATCTAGGTAAAAAACATGTAGGTTTCATCAAGTATGCATAGTGTTTTCACAACTATAATTGCATCGTAGTTTCACCAAATATGCAACCATAAAAAACATGTAGGTTTCATCAAGTATGCATAGTGTTTTCACAATTATAACTGCATCGTAGTTTCACCAAATATGCAACCATGTAATATATAAACATACATACATACCAATTATATAACCATCATTTTACCAATAATTATTTTACTACTATATATAAATATACTATTTTATAACAATAATTATTACTATTTTATACCTTTTAAATATCCTACTATATATCAATAGATATTGCATAAATATTTTGAAAATCTTTATTATTGTAATAGGCTGAAAAATAGTTTTCACCATGTTTGTTATTGT